GCTTGTTGTCGCTGTGCAGCTGTGGCACTCACACATGCGCACATACACAAAAGCCCGCTAAAAAAAAAAAATTAATTTCCTAAAAGTCCTGATTCTCGGGTGGTCCGGATTTCTGGCATCCGGATTTTTGGACTTTTACTGTACAATATAAAAATGCAAAAATATTCAAGACACCAACAAAATAGATGTTCACTTCACTGGAACGTCACCCGGCGCACGCCTGTCGGACGTTCTGGAACATCACCCGGGGCCTAAGGGTTAACAATGGACCACAAATTTTCTACTGGGTTGAGATTGGGCTAATGCCAGGCCAGTCATTAAAGAAAGGTACCTCTCAGTCTTTGAGCTACTGTATGACACTCGCAGTGTGGCATGGGGTACCGTCCTGCATGAAAAGGCTTGCCTTAGCCTTATCAAATGATTCAGGTTAGAAATCACTGATCAACTCAAGATACAGTAGTTGTACTGATTCATCATCTGATTCTGAGGGAGGATTACTAGTTCACCAACACCATAATACGTAAAGCAAGCCCAAACCATAATAATAAATAATAATAATAATTAACGGTTTATTGAAAGAGCTTGGCAGCCAGGAGGCTGAAAATATACAAGCAAGGCAGGGTGCTTAACAGTCTTCACTGTGTACTGTGGAAGATGTGCATCAGTGAGACGGGTGGTACACCCTCCCTCCACCACTACAAGTCACCAAAATTATCGACATTTTCCTATATATAGCCGAGAATTTTTTTTATTTTGCGAGGGAAATCGGGCAGGAAATATTCCAAATTTATCACTACTACCAAAATTACAAAGTTTTCCAAAATGTAGTAATAAATTTATTTACAGTTGACTCACAACTTAAGTGGGGTTATGTTCATGGGACCTCACAAAAAGCCAAAAACCTTATAAAGTCAGGAACACTCACAAAAATACCCTAAATAGCCCCAAAAATACGAGTTGAAAATTTGTTTATCTCGTGCAAAATTTAGGATGTCTATACAGTGGTCCCTCGGTTAACGAGCGCCTCAGTTAATGAGATTTCGGTTAACAAGTTACCTTCCATAAGATTCTTAACTTCGATTAACGAGCAATCCCTCGATTAACGAGTTTCTTACGAGCCCACCTGAACATGTTTTCACTTGCATTTGGCGGTCCACCAACTGTAGTATTAGTCCGCCAATACAGTAATCGGTTCTAGGGCTTAAATTCCTTACCATTTTAGCAAATATCAAGAAGTTTATACTATTCAATAATTTTAACATTTTAATATTAAATTTTTTAGTCATTTTAACAATTATTGAACATAATTGAAGGTAATGAAACTAGTTTTATGCGCACCATCCAGCCTCTCAACACACCATACAGGCGTCAGTCTTTGTGTCTTTTCAGTGGAGGTAACATATTGCTTGAGACTCTCTTCAACTAAACGCTTTTTTTCTGTGTTTACAAGCAAATTATTGGTCATTTTGAAATTTATTTTACATATAGACAATATATAATGCAGTGCAGTGTTGATTTAAAGAAAATAATCTTGAATTACACCAAGAGAACTACAATTTTATGGGTGAAATGGCGCCATGGGGTGACTTCTCTTCCTCCCCAATGCCTTCTCTTCTCCCTTCTCCTCCACCCCTATTCTAATTCCCATCATCATCCAGGAGCCTTCTACATACACACCTCAAAGTAAGTGTACTTTTCTACCTTTTTTGTTGACTTCAGTCAATTTTCGGTGAGCTGGAACCAATTACCCAAAAACCCATTGAAACAATGGTTTCGGTTAACGAGTTTTTCGGTTAACGAGCAACCTTCTAGAACGGATTGTGCTCGTTAACCGAGGGACCACTGTATTCAAATTATTTGCTATCTTGCAAGGATTCCGGCAATGTAATTTATATTCTTCTAACTTTAGTCTGTGACATATTATAAGATTAAAACTTTAAGCCTAAAACCACTTTCAATCTTGCCAGAAGTGGAGGGGGGGGGATGTGATGTATTATAACAGCTGGGCTGGGAGCGCAGACAACAGTTACCTCATTGTATTTATTTATGTCATATAGGGTGAGTTTATCCTTTTCTCTTATAAAATGTCAATGAATTGACTTAAGAGAATAGAATTTACATTGCTGAAATTTTTGTAAGATAGTGATTAACTTGAATATAAACATGCTATAATTTGCAATTGACAAAAAGATTTGTACTAATTAGTACATTTTAGTTTAAGGACTAAATTTTGTATCTCTTGTGAAAAATAAATGATGTACTGTATGTATTCAAATTATTCCCTGTCTTACAAGGATTCTAGCGAAGCAATTTATATTCTGCTAACTTTAGTAGACTGTACCATTTTATGTCAAGTTTAGTCACTTTTATTGGCCTCCAGAACCTAACCCTATTTCCCCCTTTGATTACATGTACAGTGACCCCTCGGTTAACGAACTCAATCCGTTCCAGAAGGTCGTTCGTTAACCGAAAAGTTCGTTAACCGAAACCATTGTTTCAATGGGTTTTTGGGTAATTGGTTCCAGCTCACCGAAAATTTCCTAAATTCAACAAAAATGGTAGAAAAGTTCACTTACTTTGAGGTGTGTTTGTAGAAGGCTCCTGGATGATGATGATGATGATGGGAATTAGAATGGGGGTGGAGGAGAAGGAAGAAGAGAAGGCATTGGGGTGGAAGAGAAGTCACCCCATGGCGCCATTTCACCCATAACATTTTAGCTCTCTTGGTGTAATTCAAGATTATTTTCTTTAAATCAACACTGCACTGCATTATATATTGTCAATATGTAAAATATATTTCAAAATGATCAATAATTTGCTTGGAAACACAGAAAAAAAGTGTTTAGTTGAAGAGAGTCTCAAGCAAGATGTTACCTCCAGTGAAAACAGAGAGAGACTAACTCCTGTTTGCTGTGTGAAGAGGCTGGATGCCGCACATTAAACTAGTCACTTTACCTTCAATTATGTTCAATAATCGTTAAAATGACTAAAAAATTGAATATTAAACTTTTAAAATTATTGAATAGTATAAACTTCTTGATATTTACTAAAATAGTAAGGAATTTAAGCCCTAGAACCGATTAATGTATTGGCGGACTGATACTAAAGCTGGTTGCCTGGTCAGTGCAAGCGAAAACATGTTGAGGTCGGTTCGTAAGAAATTCGTTAACCGAATTTTTGTTCGTTAACCGAATTGAAGATCCTTATGGAAGGCAGTTCGTTAACCGAAATTTCGTTAAGCGAGGCGTTCGTTAAACGAGGGGTCACTGTAATTATATATCGCGATTTAGTATATAGTGAACATCCTTGAACCCCATCTCGCGATATATTCCGACCATACTGTATTTAGAATTGCATATTTTTTTCAAACATTTTATCTTATTCTTGCCCATTTGTTTTATAAATTCTGCTGGAAGTTGATCATCCCCACAAGCTTTATCATTTTTCATTTTCTTTACAGCTGTCTCAACTTCTGTTTCCAGAATTGGCATTTTGATCTGTTCGTTTCTTACCTCTTCTCTATCCTTAATATTGTATAGTTCTTCTATGTACCCTGCCCATCTCTTGTTTTACTTCTGCCTTTTACGGGATCTTATTATCTTTGCCCCTCCCCTCCCGCCATCCCCCTCCCCTCCCGCCATCCCCCTCCCCTCCCACGCCCCATCCCCCTCCTCCTCCCGCCCATCCCTCCCCTCCGCCATCCCTCCTCCCGCCATCCCTCCCTCCCGCCATCCCCTCCCTCCTCCGCCATCCCTCCCTCCTGCCATCCCCCCTCCCTCCCGGCCATCCCTCCTCCCTCCCGCCATCCCTCCCTCGCCCCATCCCTCTCCTCCCGCCATCCCCTCCCCCTCCGCCATCCCCTCCCTCCCGCCATCCCCCTCCCCCTCCCACATCCCCCTCCCTCCCGCCATCCCCCTCCCCTTCACTACCCACCACACACTCGCTCTACCATCTCCACCCATCGGTGAGTACCAATACAAACTTAGTAGTTGTATATGCATGCACTATTTTCTATAGAAATGGCAATGATTTTTTGTATATGTAATGTGTTTCATGGGGCAAAGGGAGGCTGGGGAACATAACTCCCGGATTGTATCTATTTCTTATGGGGAAAATTGATCCGCTTAACGTTGTTTCGTATAACGTCATGTTTTTTTAGGAGCGTAACCCAGACATTAAGGGAGGACTTCCTGTACATTTAATTGTACCTACAGTACTAGGAAAGTATAAATAAGTATATCTATACAGGACAGGTTTCATATACTATACTGTATTGAATACCTATCAAAAAATCATATACCACTACAGTGTACATACCATGCTTATAGCAGTAAAAAGTATTAGTATTCGAATACGGAATACTGTACTGTACTTGTATTCACTCCATCCCTGGCTGTAGCTCATTATCCAATTCTTCTCTTACCCACAGATATTAGATCCATGATAGCATTCAATTTGCTTGACATCTATTTTTTCAATTCTACTGTGCAGTATATCATTATGATCCAGGCCTAATATAATATCTTTTTCTTCACCTGCAGAATGGAGCATATTCCAGTGTAACATTGTCCATTAGTCTGTTTTCTATAAAAGCATTAGTTTTGCAATGAAATCATTATAGATACTATACAGATTTTTTTTTTGTACAGATTTCTATTGATGTCTATTGTGTCATGTTAAACTTTGTCATAATTTTTTGCTCTTAGGTTTAGGGATGCTTGGAGCTTACTATATATATATATATATATATATATATATATATATATATATATATATATATATATATATATATATATATATATATATATATATATATATATATATATATATATATATATATATATATATATATATATATATATATATATATATATATATTATTTTTTTTTTTTTTTTTTTTTTTTTTTTCACTGTTCAATACAGGTATATTGGAATATGGTATATTGGAATTACTATTTATTTTGTATTTTTTATAATATTAATATACTGTACTGTACATTATGCTGTATTACAGAAAACCTCGCACACAGAAGTCAAAACGTGCCTTGGAGCGTCGGGAATCCAAAATTATTGAAAACACAAAACGGTCTCTGTTTCTTTATGGGCAAAAGACTAGTGAAACTGTTCGACATTGCTTAAAAGATATGGTAAGTGTACCTCATGATGATTTAAATGAATATTCATTTATAATTACTGTAGTTTAAGAAACTTGATTAAGTTTGATATTCTTGCATGTAAGATATTGTAAATTGAATTAAAAATAATGGTTACTGTGGCAGGTTAATTGTTTTATTGGGGTTGCAGTCCACATGCTGCAGATTCAAATCCTTTTTGAAGAAGCAACACAGGGTGGTATGTGATTGATATACTGTATGGTGTGAGCCAGTACTACTAGTACAGTACAGTATAACTATGTTACCACCAACTTGTAAAAACTGAACTGTCAAACAAATATCATGGCCATAGGGGAGAAGTATCTGTGCTGTTACTCAAATTGTCTTTGGTATGTGATGCCATGCCCATTAGGGTGTGTCATAGGAGGGAAGGTCAGCTAAAACTAATGGCCCATCACTTTTTGGTAGATTTTAGTGTATATAAACAGAAAATAATTTCAGTTTCAATATTTTGCAACCTTTTGCTAGGTAAATTTTAGCGTGAAATTTATCGAAAATCTAACGTACAGCTGCATTAGTGCATTACAATTAAATAGTGAACATTGCTTTCTGACTTCATTCTTTAACAACCTGCACCAATATTTTTTTCTTGTTTCAGATTCTTGGATGCATTTATAAGTTGATAATATTTGCGATGGTTGCTTGTGTTGTGATTTGAGGAACCAAAAATCCAGCCATCTCAGTCACTATCTTTGGGTCTGGGAGAGAGCTCCTGAAGTCGGAGTTGCCCACATTGAGAGATGCTTTGAGGATACGGGGTGTTTTAATCAGGCAAATCATGAAAAGAACCAAAGAACTTTTACATTAAACAAAGACATTTTCTGCCAGTGATATGACCAAAGCTGTCTTGGCATGGCACACTCTGGCTAATGCTCAGTTCAAGTCATAACAAGTCAGAAGAAGATTAGTGAGAGACTGCTAGCCAGTTGGGAAAAGGTTAGAGATATCTCTTGGGAGAGGAAAACTGCAGTTATGACAGCTTTGCCAAGCAACTGACCAGTTATTTGACATAATTACTTGCAAGTGCCCAATTGTTCTCTGTCCTGAGTTTGATGCGATCAGACTGTAACCGGAGGTCTACATCTCCTGTATTTGCAAGCGTGAACTGGAAGATTCCTTGTGATCGAACTGGTATTTGTCAAAGCACAGAGAGAGAAGATTACAGTATAGGGCCTTCCTATGGATTTCTAGCCAAGATTATTCCCGGAGTCCAAGAGACAGGAGGCTGCCAAGAGAGACAGAAGAGGAGAAGAGTTGCCGAGAAAAGACTGAGAAGGCCCAGGTGAGGTAAAAAGGCCGATGATTGGAGTCAAGCTGATTCAGAGTTTAATGATTTCCCCATGGCTGATCCGAAAAGGACTAGGAGAATGGTGACTTTGTCCCTAACCCAGAAAAATAATGATCCCAAACCTTTCCAGGCATAAGATTGAAATAGTAGCATATCCCCGAAAGACAGCTTCTGCCAGCATGCGACACCACACTGGTCTCAGAGAAACTGCAGAGATAGCAATGATACCTGATTGGACGGTGGTTTGATAACACCTGACGATGCCCACCTGGCAGAGGACTATAACGCGGCGAGAGCTCAGGAGAAACTTGCTTCAGTAACCTTAGAAGAGGAGCTTGATAAGGGATAAGAGAAAATGGAATCAATTGTTTGTTCTTTGATGGGAGAAGGGATGACACTAAAGTGTTCATGAAAGTTGGGAGATTCTGACAAGTTGTTCCCTGCCATGGTGAAGAGGCACCATTCGCTGCTGCAGTGAACCAGGAGGGAAGTATTTGTGGCATTTCACCTGAGAAAGATGACATCAGGAAACCATGAGATAGTGCAGATAACATTGTGAACTGGCCCAGAGAGAGGAACGTAGACCAGACCGTAGGCCATTGGAGGACAGCACCAACACGTAACACAGGGTGGCAGTGGCAAATGCTACAGTGGATAGAGCTGAAGATTGGGAGGAAGCTGGTCTGGATTGTTCAGGACTCTACACCAAACGAAGCTGCCACTCAGACATCTGATCCAGGAGCTGATGGCAAGACTCCTTTTCAAACACGATGGTCTGTCCTCTTGGCAAGATGCTGACCTTCCACTGAGTTAGAAATAACCGAGCTTTGAAAAATCAATGGCTAGCCCCCTCCACTGCTGAGCTGCACATACTGGGTCATTGGGATTTACCTGAGACCAGTACTATGGTTACATGATTTGCAGTGCCATCGAAACTGGGGTCATGCCTGATAGACTTGCTTACCTGCAGATAGGTCCAGTCTCACATTCTAGGTGGCTCACAACGGCTCTCAGGTTCTGCAGAATTTGGCTCGCTCATCATAAACTGAAAGGGAACCAGCTTTACAACCTGAGACTTATTGTCCAATTCATCGTGAGTGTCTACTTACCAAATTGGTTCAACACCAAGGTCAAGTCATCGTTCTCCGAAGGTCCGAGGCATGTTCTCTTCCAGCTTGAGCTCCTGAGAGTCAGCCAAGGAAGGTTGTTCAGATTGTGGAGCGAACTGTGAGGAGATCTTCCTGGGTATTGTGCTCATCGAGGCAGTTCTGCAGACAATGCTCTGCAGTAAGGATGAGGAGGAGAGAAGAGTGGCAGTCAAAAAGATCTTGGATATGAGACTTATGAGAGGATCTGGGCATGACGAATCAGTTGGTGGCGATTCCTTCAGGGTCAGGAAGACTCCTGAAGTCAATCTAGGTGCCAAGACCCTCACTGATCTCATAGATCTGGATAACATCCAGGCTGGCAGTGAGCCCCCTCTTGCCTGCAGCCTCACCAATGTTCAAGTCAGAGCTTTCCTGGACAACCCCACATGCATGTCCTGCCTGGTCCTCGCACACCCAGAGTATAGAGCGTTGTGTACAGCAAGTGAGCCCGAGGCCAGCAGTCACGTCAACACAACCAGGAGAGGAGGAAGGCTACATCGAGGCCAGGTGGTCAGCAGGGAGGTGATGAGTAGAAACAGAAGCAAGAAAGACGTGTTCTCTATGGTGTGCAGCAACACCGGTCGTAGTAGTAAAACCGGTTTTTGTATTTGATGATTTTGTTTTCTAAAGGAATATTAAATTTAATAAATGTGTCAAGATCATTCGTTTCAATTATTCTGGATCATTTTCATCCTAATAAATTAACCTGATACATTTACTTTACTTTAAATAAGCTATTTAGTGGTGTTGGTAAAAGGGTGGGAATACTGAATTTTCATAAGATTTCAAGCAAAATTTACCTAGCAAAAAATGAAAACTTTTCAAATCTGAAGATATCACATGATTCTGCACATAGAACTACATCATTAATACCATGGGCCGATTTTTCAAACTCAAAAAAAAAATTCGCCTCCGTATGACACACCCTATTATAGAGGGTAGTACCATTAAGCTGGATGGATGGTGGAGGTGTGGCTGAACCAGGGACAGGCTGAAACAGAATCTGAGTCTTACGCACATTCACCTCAAGGCCGAAATGTGCATTTGCATCTGCATAGGTATTCAGGATCTCCTGTAGGTCGTGTTCTGTGTGAGCGACTAGGGTGAGGTCGTCTGCATACTGAAGTTCAGTAATGGAAGCTGCCGACACCTTTGTTCCTGCCTGGAGTCGTCTTATTTTGAAAAGATCCTTCATCCGGTACTCTATGTCCACCCCGCAAGCTAAGTTGGCGCTGGCACGAGTAAGGAAAGCAGCCAAGAAAATGGAAAAGAGAGTTGACGCCAGTACACATCCTTGTTTTGCCCATTTGGTTGGGGAAGAGCTCAGACTGGGTGCTATTGTGCAGGACACTGGCATTCACACCGTCGTGGAGTTGCCTCACAATGGTGATGAATTTTCGTGGGCAGCCAAACCGGCTTTCCTGTTGACCGAGTCATTTGTTTAGGTCGATAAATGCCATGTACAGATCATGGCGCTGTTCTCTGCAGTTTTCCTGTATCTGGCGGGCAGCAAAAATCATGTCAGTGGTGCCATGTGATGGTCTAAAGCCACATTGAGATTCTGGGAGGAATTTTTCCGCCTTGGGTAGTAGTCTGTTTAGGCGGACTTGGACGATAATCTTGCCGGTTACGGACAGCAGTGAGATCCCACGGTAGTTGCCACAGTCTGACCAGTCTCCCTTGGTCTTATAAATATTGACAATGGAGGCGTCTTTAAGAGCTTGGGGAATTTCCTACTTTTTCCATATATTCTCCAGGAGAGAGTGGAAATTGCTATTAAGTAGAGGACCTCCTGCTTTGTACACCTTGGCTGGGATTCCATCAGGCCATGAGGCTTTGTTATTTTTCATCTGTTTCATGGCAGTAGTTACCTCATACAGGGATGGAGGATAGCTGAGGTGGGTCAGTTCTGGATGCTGAGGGACCTGCTGGGTAGTCTGGACATCCACATCGGTGTTTCAGTTGAGCAGCGAATGGTAGTGCTCTTTCCAGCGCTGATGGATGCCTTCTTCGTCTTTAATTAGGGAATTACCATCAGATGAGCGGAGAGGGGCTGTGCCATGAGTGATTGGCCCATAAAATGTTTTAGTGGACTTGAAAAATTTATGCTTCATGTGTTGATCTGCAAGTTTTTGTGTTTCACATGCTATATTTTTAAACCAGTCGTTCTTTAGTTTGTGAAGTTCGTGCTGGGCAGCTGCGATCTTCCTGTGGTCGGTATCAGCTTTGGTTCTAGACTGAGGGTTGTTCTGCCAGTCAATTAAAGCAGCACGTTTATCATCGATGAGTACGTTTATTTCCGGGTAATTTTCATCAAACCAGTCCTGGTGTATTCTTTCGACCTGGCTGAGGGTCTCTGCAGGTTTTTGTCATGACACTGTTGAGAATACTCCATTCGACACTGGGATTTGGGTTGTTTGTCAGTTCATTTTCGAGCTGCTCTATGAAAAAATGTGCTATTGCTGGATCCTCCAGACACTTCGTGCTAAAACCCTCTTCTGGAGGTATGTTGCCTTCGCTGTTTTGGGGTGAAGTGA